AAGCAAATTTTTACATCAGATTCCCTTAGCTTCTACCCCCCCCATCGTCTATGCTATTATAGTCGAAGATATCACATATAAATTTTGGTCCCGATTGGAGACGGTTAAGGCGTGGCGCACAGGGGTTAAAATACAGCTTACCCTATGAAGACGACGTCTTAACCGAATCCAATCGGGACCAAAATTTTTGTGTGATATCTTCGACTTTAGTCGTATCGATTTTGGGTATTAAAAAAAAAAAAAAATATTTTAATTTTTTGAGTCTTCATGGAGCATCTGGCCTTGGACCCCATTGTGACACGCCTTAACTGAGTTCAATCAGGACCAAAATTTATATGTGATATATGTGACCATGGTGTTACCGATTGAAAGGGTGGGACTGAAAAAATCGATATTTTGATTTTTTAAGGACCATCCTAATGTATGTATACGTTACATTACACTATGTCAAATAAAACGAAATCTTTTTCTTTCTTTCACATATGAAAATTTCATTGTCGGTCACAAAAAGATTGCTGCGCAAAATTTTAGCCTCCAATCTTTATTTTTTCAGTTATGAAAAAAATGTTTCTTCCGCTAAACAAAAGGAATAATCTTCCAGCCCATTCAATTCTAGTAAAGTTGACGCAGGCTAGAAGTTGCTGGAGCCGTTGATTTTTGCCATTTTTTTTGTTTAAGTTTTACTCAAAATTTTGTTCATATAAACTAGTCATCGAACACACTTTTTATGGAAGAAAATGACCGTCGTCACCGCCAACAAAATAATTGGAAAACATCAACGGTAAGTTCTACTGAGCTACTCCAAACTTGCACCCACTCTACTAGAGTTGTTGTTGTTGTTATTTCTATTAGTTATATTTAAATGTTTAATAAAAAAGTTGCGGCAAAAATTTAAAAAAAGTCGTTTAATTTGCCACAGTCTAATATACATATATATACGTTCTTGTATATATGTACTACATACATAAATAAATGTATGTGTAGGTGTGTAAGTGTGCGTTATAGTTGTAGCCCATATGTGTTTCATTTAAATCGAAGCGTTGAAGTGTATTGAACCGTAATTTACGATATTTTCTTGACAAAATTCAATAACACATTTGCATATACGCTTATGAATTTTTGTGTTAATTATTTTTTGTAGGAAAAATGTGGGTGAGACTGGAAGTATGTATTATAAGTAATTATGTCGCTGAATTTGAGACACGTGTGAACTTGGCATAAATATTTATGCGTAGCAGATTTCCAAGAAGCTTTGCAGTTATCGCGCGAAACCTAAATATATGGTATTTTTTATTATAACATCCATTTTTAAAACTCAGCTCCGGAGTATTTCTTTTGAATCAGCAAAGGATTATCTGCATAATAAATATTACAAAATCAATGCCACTAAGCTTCTATGTATAAAAATTACGAATTTCTCTTTCTACATGCGCTAGTTAAGCTCCCAGCTGCCACTATTCCTGTTCCCCAGAGATGATATGCACAGGGTAGTAGTCTTAGAAATAAACCTAAAGGCCAATATATACAACAAGGCGACCAGGATTACCTCTATTTTGGAGCGACACATCCAGAGGAGCACTCTACAGTGATACACGGGCGGCTCTAAGACTCCTGAGAGTATTGGACCATGTATATATGGCCCTAGACTGAAGCTGTCAATATCAATATCCTTGGGAACCCAAGCATCTTCCAAGAGAAAGTTTATGCCATCAATATATACGCAGAGATTAAACTTCATAGAAACGAAGTATACTTTTCAGCTGGAGAGAGTCGATAAGCTTATTGCCCTTGCTGGTGGCAATACTATCCAACCAATATGGGTACCAGAGTACATGGTAGTCGAAGGATATAACCGGAGCCCCATCTTTTCGGTGGATCTAAGTACGATAAAAGAGGCGCTTAAAGAGGAAAAAAGCAAACTGAGGACATTGCATTTTCGTAACATCACAGGACATCCTCAAGCCAAAAGCTTTTTGGAGGGTACAATACAAGGAGATACAGCCTACTTATAAACCTGCACCAGGAGAGGCTTAGAATTATTACAGTTACTTGTATAATTTGAGGACCTGGTCACACTCCGCCACAGAGACACCATTGCACTTTCTCCTGGAGGGCCAGGCCGTTTCACGAAGAATGGAGAGGCTCTAGGGACATATATAGCCAAGAGAAAAGCATTTACTCCACCTCCTGCCACCGGGATCTATTCTAAAATTCATCGAGTCTCTGCGCCCACATTCAGTGTTGTAATAAACTGAAGGCACAATATTCGTACTTGTCGTTTTTATACTTGGTGTTAGAATGAGGTTACTAATTTAAATAGTAAAATTCTTTTTTTTTTGGATCGCGGTATCGAGGAGTCCAAAGTTGAAAAGACAATGTTTTCATAGTCATTTAAATATACCTAATGTCCTGGAGACGACATTTCAGCTTGACATAAAACTTAGCTAGCGAGTCTCTTCTCATAAAGTCCCTACTTCTAAGTGCAATTAAGTACGACATAAGGACTAAAACATATGCATCTTAAAAACGTGTATTATTTTGCGACCAGCCAACTTCATAACTTTGGTCAGCGATGGTAGTAAATAAATAATTGAGGAAATTTTTTAATAAACGACTGAAAATGCTCTTCTTCATTAATAGGATATATAAGGAAAATTTCCCTCCTAGAGATACAATTTGTTTCGCTTAACTTACATGACAACGACCTTAAACGCTTGCCAAAATTAGTTAGATCATGGTTAATGTGGAAAATGTGCAAGTGATATATTTAATGCCCCAAACGTCACATTTTCAATGCGATTGGAAAGATGGAAAAAACTGTAAGCGAAGACATCGCGCGAGAAAACTATATCAATCCTTGAGAGCTTTTCTGAATATAGGTAACGGAAGAAAATCTTATATTCTGAGTTCCTCTAAAAAATTAATATGAATTCCTTTAACTCGGGGAAGGGCACCGAACTGCCCGCATGCAAAGCTCTATCAAGTTTTGTATACATTTAGTACAGAAAGTTTGAAAGAGCTTTGCCCGCATAGAAGCTGATTTCCACCACCGTTTTAAATCTTAGTGTAATAACCTGGCCCTGATTCTCTCTAGAGCCTAGCTATACTTCTATAACTGATATTTTATCGATAGTGCCAAAAGAGGTGGAGCATTTTTTCCATACAAACCCTATAAATATTTTGGCGAACATTCGAAAATTACCTTCGATATCCAATATGCATATCGAACTGAGAACGAACTCATAACCAACCTTGCTTGTCCAACGTTCATTGTGTATTGGCAATACATTCGAGATGGGTTCGGAAAAAATAAATAAAAACCATTGTAACAAGAGAGGAAGAGAAATCTAGCTCATTTTCGAAGGTAAATATAAGACAATCACTCTTAATTCAATTTTCAATGTGGTAATGGGCTGGATTTCGAATTCATAGCGAAGGAAAAATTCATTGGATAACGAAGGTTCCGTTGGAGAATGGCCTAGCTCTCGAATCGAATACTTATCTATTCCACATTAGTTATCGAAGGTGAGGCTCGAAAAAAAGATTGGTTTTCCAATAATTTTCGAATTGTTAACCAAGCCCAATGTTTATTAGGTTGGGAAGTATGTTCGATAAATTTGTTATGTGTGTAAAAAATGAGCATCACCTTCAACAAAAGAAATAACAAAAATTAGCAACAAATCCTAGCTACTTCAAATTTGCACTTTATTGTACTAAATTTGGAATGAGATATAAAACCGCACACTTAAAATGTTACTAAGAAGTCTAATTAAAAAGCTCGAAATTTTGATGAAACAAAAGTCTGATAATGAACACACTTTAATAAAAAAATAACAAAAATTGAATAAAGCAAAAAAAAATCTCAAAATCCCGCGTACCGATTTACATAGATATATTTTCGCCACTGCATGTCAAATGTTTTGCTGAAAATGTAATTTTTGATTGATTGCTCATGCTTACATATTTATGTACTGCCAAAACTCCAAATTTAAATAAAAACTCATCCATTTTGTAAAAATATTTTCTTGTGTATTTTTTAAAAATATTTGCATATTACGCTTCAACCATTCTTCAATAAATAATTTCTTATAATTTGTTCACCCTTAAATATTACTTTACAAAAATTGCTTATAAAAATATTTTTTGCCTAAATGCGACTAATGGCTAATATTCAAAAGTATGTAGCTTTTCATGTAAATATGTACTTATTACAAAAATAGGCGTAAATATTTTCCAAAAATATTTTTAGTAAAAAATAAATTTTTCAAAAATATTTTCGTTAAAAATATATTTTCCAAAAATATTTTTACTAAAAAAATATTTTCCAAAAATATTTAATTAAACAACTGCTTTAAAATAGCTGCGCTTAAACGTATTTTCGTAAAAAATATATTTTGAAAATTTTTTATAAAAAAAAATATTTTCCAAAAATATTTTTTTATATGTATAATTGCTTTAAAATAGCTGCGCTTAAACGTATTTTCGTGAAAAATATATTTTGAAAAATTTTTTATAAAAAAAAATATTTTCCAAAAATATTTTTTTATATGTATAGTTGCTTTAAAATAGCTGCGCTTAAACGACAAACTTTCCTTCTACAAAATGCTTTCCATTTGAGAAATGTACAAATTTTTATATTAACCACTAAAAATTAACTAAAACTACTATTTTACAAATTTTTCACAATTTTTACAAATTCTACAAGCTATTATAGTTGCTTATCAATATTTTACAATAAAAAAGTAGTTTCGAGGCTTTTAAAATTTGCGCTTAACAGTAAAGTTATAGTTGTAGTTGAGCTAAAATTTGTGGTAAATGCAAGGCCTTTTTACAATAGTTTGTTGTTGTGTTAACTGTTAGTAGTAAAAATAGTTTTGTCATTAGATACCTTTTTTCAAAGTTATCAATATGTTTTTGAGCTGACTAGAGGTACTGAAATTTTGTTGTGCTTGAAATTTTCTGGGCTACAATGCGCACACTGGTCTTTTTTTTTTTTGTTTTTGGGAGTGAGGCGGGGGAGGTGGTTGGCTACATACGCTCGCGCCTGCGTTAGCTACTCATTTAGAATGGTAGTTTGATAGACGTGCGCGCTGAAGCTTGCGTATGCAGGAGCTATTAATTTTTCTTGCTTGCTGATGGATGGCTGGTGGTGGTGGGTGGTTTCGAACTAGGAACTAATTTTTGGTGGAACATGGCAGACTCGGCTTGGCCGCGCAGCTCTAACTTAGCTTTGCACTTTATTTACACTTCTCTGCTCTTCGCTCTGCACTCTAGTGCTCCACAAAGACTGGATAATTGTGCAGCTCATGCGCGGACGCCATCGAATCAGCTACCAGCGCGCTGGCACAACTGCTGCCGCTGCTGCTGTTACCGCCGCTACTATTCGCCGCGCTTACGCTGCTACCAGGACACCCGCCCTCGGAGTGTTTCGTCAGCAGGGACATGCGTGAGAAGGTCTTCGAACAGTTACCGCACGAGTACTTCTTGATGTCGGAGTGCGTCTGCAGATGAGCGCGCAGATTGGAACGATCGGCAAAGGCGCGATGGCAGTGCTGGCAGCTGAAGGGCTTCTCGCCGGTGTGTGTGCGTATGTGGCCCTGCAGCAGCCAGGGGCGTGAGAATGCCTTGCCGCAGATGTTGCACTTGCACGGCAGCGTATGGGTGCGTATATGCATCTTGAGCGCACCCAGCGAAACGTAGGTCTTATCGCAGTCCTTGCAACTGAACGACTTCTTCACCTGATTACCTTCGGCAGCGGGACAATGAAATTGTTGGTGCTTGGTGAGGCCGGAGAAGGTGGAGTAGGATTTCTGGCAGTCGGGACATTGATAGCGCGGCGGCGCCGACTTGTCCTTCTTTGACGAGGATGTGGGCGTGCTGGGCGTTGAGCTGCTGTGTCCCAAGCTAGCATCACGTTTCTCACAGGCGTGGTGATCGCTTCTGCTGTGCGCTTTTTGTGGCGACGACTTTTGCAGCATGCTGTGCTTCAGCGACAAATCCTCAGGCAGCGCAGAGCAATGCGGCTCGGGTGTGATTGAGCGCATTGAGTAGTACGAGGACTCCGAGTAGGTGGGTGAGATCGGCGCATGCGGGTGATGGTGCGGATAACTCAGCGGCGTCGGATAGCCCACCGAATGATGCGTTGCGTGTTGCGAGTGATAAGCGGCTGCTGCTGCAGCGGCGGCGGCGGTGGCCGCATTGGGCAGTGGGTAAGGCATGAAACGGTGCTGGTGGTGTTGGTGTTGGTGTTGATGCTGGGATGGCGTTTGTTGTGGCAGTTGTCGCACGCCAATCGGCCGATGTATGATTTCGGAGCGCACAGGCGGCGACACTGAATTGGCGCGACCATGCAGGTAGTGGGGTGGCGGCGATAACGAACCCAACGAGTCGGCTGAAGGTGAGCTGGGCGAGAGCAAGTCGCCGCGCAGCGGTGAGATCTGTTGTGCCAAGTGTGGGTGATTGATAGTGCGATAGAATTCGGCAGTGTAGGGTGACATGTGGAAATTCCATGGCTGTAGGCCATACTTGGCATATGTGGGCTTAGGCACAACAACGGAGGCTGCTGCGACAGCCGCAGCGGCTGCCAAAGCGGCAGCTTGTGTGGTATTCGCGTCAGCATCGTTTTGCTCTTCAATCTTAACGCAGTCGATGATTTCCTCCTCTTCATCCTCATCGTCCAGCATATCCATGGAGGCGTCTTCGTCATCTGTGTGATCGACATCGACACCCTCATCCTCACAGCAATCGCTGACGTTAATGAGCTCGTCATGCGGCGTGATGGTGGTCTGTGCGTTTGAGACGGTTTTGGCGGCGAAGTCATCCTGGTCGTAGGCGCGTTTCTTGAGGCTCAAATTTTCTGGCTGATCTGGGTGATCGTCAATGCTGTGCGCGGCAATTTCGGCGATGGACATTTTCACGTCGCCTATGTCCGTGGAGCTGTCCTCTTCGAATTGATAGTTGATCGGGCGTTTCTTCAATGGACACTTGCTGTAGTTTTTCTCGCCCAACATATCCTCGACTGTGTGCATTTTGGCGGTTTTGTTGTTTTGTAACTTTTTTTATTTTTTTGCTGTTACACTGTAACTTTTCACTTATTAGTGTCTGTTTAAAAAAATTTATTATTATTTTTTTTTTTTTGAAAATTCAGTTTATTAAATTTTTACGTTTTCACGTTCGTGCACATTCCCGTGGGAACCAAAGTTTTTTATTTCAATTTTTTAAACACTTTAACGCGCTTACGCGTCGATTTATTGCATTCGGTTTTCGTATGCCGATTGTACACGGTTTTAGAATTGTCTTTGCATATATACGGTTATTTTATTCTACAAACTACCAAATCGTGTTGGCATGCGTGGCATTCAATCGAAGACAAACAAACTCAAGCAGCAGCAACGAAGAACTGTGCTGAGCCGCCACGCATCCTCGTTTTTATACGTTGCGCGCTCAATCCACTCTCAAGCCAGCTCATACATATCTCGCGTCCAATTGTGGTGGTTGCTGGTCGCAGCCACTCTTTGCTGTTCGAGCCCGGATTTGCGCTCAAAGAGCTGCTGTTGAGAGGATATGCAGCGCGCGCTCACCAGGTCCAATCGCGCAACTTTATACTGCGAGAGTGATTAACCAGCGGCGAAGCACGGGAGTGCCGCAGTACCACACTCACGCTCAGCCAAATCCTGCTCACCACCAGTTAGCCACTTATTGTGTCCACAAGCGCATCAGCTTTATTTACATGCCGCACACACAACAACCACCGGCCAACGACCAACATCACCACCACCACCACTATCGCCACTAATAGCTGTTGTAGCACCAAACGGGCAGCAGTCAACCGTCAAGAGTCTATACAAGCCAGCGGCAACAACAATTCTCCAAACAGTCGCACAACCACCAATCGTTGCCGCTTGCAAAGCCGTTATATGAAAACCTGTTTTCAATGCGCCGGCTTACCAAAGCTATATGGAAGTGTTGGCTGCTTTGCTGGCTGGCTGGCTGGCTGGCGCGCTGACTGCTCCGTTTACTATATTGGCTTGGGTGGCTTTGGCTCTGACTCTGGCCGCGTGCCGCCGAGCCGTATGGTCAAACAACAATGCTGCATACTACCACCAGCGCGTGATGGCTTAGCGTACACGTGCGTTGCGCCAATCAGATTGTTAGACAATACACTAAAATTAATTCGTTTGTCTGTATTGTTGTTGGTGTTGCGCTTGCATTTATATACAGAGTATATTTCCTGCGAGTAAGTATATAAATATTCAATAGAGAGACTTTTCATTGAGGTTACGAGATTTTTGCTCTTAATTTTCAAAGCTAGGCGGCTTCTCATGCTCTGCTTATGCTAATAAGTTGCATGTTTCCTCTATTTGCGCGCTCTGCTGCTACTTATTCTTCTGCTCTTCAGCAACCCCGTTGTAGTGCTACACCACCAACTCGCGGCATATTCCTATATTAAATATCGGGTTTTTATTATTTCCGCTTGAGTGGCGCTCGTCTTCATCGCTCGTACCTTCGGTACATAGATAGGTGCTCATTTATTCGTTTGTCGTAGCTGCTGTCGTAAGGATCTGTGGCGAGCAGCTACAAGCAACTCGCGCATGCTAGGCTCTACAATGTGACTCTTTCAGCTGGCTGAGTTGCGGATAGGCACCTGGTTGGTGTGGAATTGCTTATTGTGGTAGTCTAAAAACAACTGCGCATAGCGGCGGCAGGCAGGTGTTGCTCATTGTGTGGTGCGTTATTCGTTTCTCGCTGTTTGTTGCATGCTTAGCCTCGATGTTTGTAGGTGCGTAATTAACGCGCTGACATGTAAGGGAACTTCGGTGTAGGGCACAAGAATTTATATAGGTTTTTGTTTGTTAATTTATAAATTTTTTGTCGAATATTTTTGACTTCACAAAATCGAATACCCAGCAAACATTTGGAATCATAAATGAGTCCTTAAGGAGTCCTCATTTCAGAGTCCTAAAAGATTCATATAAGAGTAAACAATTTTTATTTTTTTTTAAACTCATACTTCCTACTTAGCTAGAACTCCTTTCGGACTCATATATTCTGAACGCTCAGAATATATTTGCGGTGTACTTAAATTTGTTTTATTAGTATTTCAAATTAATCGGATTTCTCTAAAGCTGGTTCCTATTTTCGATGAAGGAGTGTATTTAGCTATAAAATAGTGCACTATTAGAAAACCAAATATTAAGAAAAGGTCTGTTACGCAGATTCTCCAATAATGTTTTATAGTAGTATAAAGTAAATATAGCTTTTGGGAAATTATTGTTTGGAATTTTTTTGTGCTAAAATTAATTAGGTTTTAGGGAAATATTAATTATGTTTTCGGAAAATATGTTGTTTTGTGAAGAAATAAATTTGTTTTGAGAAAAGAATGTTTACTTAGAATTATAAATATGTACAAATGTAGAAAAACGGTTTTAAGGTTTTTAATTTCCATATACATACATACTCCCATAGAAAAATTGAACATATACATGTATTTTATTCGAGTGAGATACTGGTAGCCGATACAGCTACAAAATTGTTACACAACATAGAAGAAGAGGTGGCCGTCATATCTGCAATTTTTGTAGTTTTTGCATTATGACACTATTGAAGTGAAATGAGCGATGTGTTTATTAAAAAAAATTATTCAAACAAAATTATAACATACCAAACATTAAACGAAACTGAAAAAATGTTTTTTTTGGAGAATAGAATATGCTTTGGAAGCAGTACTTTTATTAGGAAAAATATATTTATTTTTTTGGTAAAAGGGCAACGCAAATTTGGTTAAATTTCATTTAATTAAAATATTTAGTAGATAATATTTGGATAAAATAGTTTTTTGTTCAGAAAATATTTTTTTAGAAAAAAAATTTAAATATTTAGTAGATAATATTTGGATAAAATAGTTTTTTTTTAGAAAATATTTTTTAGAAAAAAATTTTTTAGGTAAATTTCTATTTTGGAAAAATATTGGAATGAAACATTTGCTAAACTAATGTATCCAAGAGGGTACATGGCGGCGGAGCAGATGTCTATGGTATACAGCCTAGAGGGTCGTTTTCCCTAGCATGATGTCTGTTCACTATGTCTTTTAAACTGCGCTACATGCCAATGAACTACTTATATTAAGGCAGCAATTACAAGGGCAGCAGTGCTGCGCATAATGTGACTACAGCGGCCAAAAAAAGTGAAAACGGATTTGAATCTAGTCACTAAATACTTTTGTAAAAGTAAAAACGAACCTCAATGCATTTTTTTTTTTTTTAAGGAAATGCATATTTGCAGTCATTGTACGAAGTTAACGTAGAAACAATGCAAAAATTTTATTTGTTAGAATAAATTTTGAGTTTGTTTCAAGTAATTAACTGAATTTTCTTCTAGTGCGGATATGCAGTAGGCTTCTCATATTGACGATCAGTTTTTTAATATATCTGTGGGCCAGCATATAAATATTTCTAACTGGCAAATCTGTTATTCAGCTACAAAATTTTTTAGACTACCTTTTTTGTTATTTAAGAGATTTATCAATAAAGTAAAAATTTTCCAGATCTGTAACGGGTGATTTTTTTGAGGTTAGGATTTTCATGCATTAGTATTTGACAGATCACGTGGGATTTCAGACATGGTGTCAAAGAGAAAGATGCTCAGTATGCTTTGACATTTCATCATGAATAGACTTACTAACGAGCAACGCTTGCAAATCATTGAATTTTATTACCAAAATCAGTGTTCGGTTCGNCCTAACCTCAAAAAAATCACCCGTTAGAACTCTATGGGCCTTGGAACTTTGAATTACCATCAAGTTTGAATATATACTTCGGAAACCACTGCGATGTCATAAACGCCGAATTTATAACCATAAATAATATTAATCAAATCTTTCTTTTTATTTTTGTTCATTTATTTTCTTCATAAACTTACTATACGCAGAAATCCTTTGATTGCTATCAATTTTCGTAAAAGTACTATTATTCCACTAGTTATATTTTTATTTTTATGTATTTGTACTTATATACATATTTAGGTACATATTTGCTATATACTTTACTTCTCTTTTTTTTAACAAGGCTTCTCTTATTCTTAGTAAGAAGCTGTTCGAATTCCGTTGTTCCTTATTATGAAAAACAATGCTCTTAATTTATGTGCGCTCTTAATTGTCATATTTCCAGTGGTTTAACTCTTACGTCAATCTTCCTTGACATCGCATGAGCAGCAATTTACCTGTCGCTCTTAGTGCGCTCTTTGTTTCATTGTGTTTATTATATACACTAAATGGTTTATATTTTTACAAGTTTGGCTTAATTGAAAGTACATACGATTTATCTATGTATAAACTCAGAGGCATATTTATTTCAAGTGCCTACTAGTCTCATTAACCTGGATATTTATGAACTATGTACATACTTTAGCATTAAAAGCTACTGCTAAGGTAGATTTCTATTGAAAAATCAATATACATTAGGGTGTCCCGAATTGGGATTTGCCCTGCAAACGTCCCTGAAATATTTAGTTTATGACCTAAAAAAAAATATCAGACCCATACCAACCCTTAATAACCCAAAAAAAAGGCTAAAAAGTACTCTCTGATATTTACTTGAATTTATGTAGTGCGAACTTTGAGACTGAAGAGATATGGATTTTCATTGCCAAGTGATTCCCAACGAAAAAAAAAATTTACAAAAGTAAAAATGGAAGATATTGAATAACTAACTCCACGACAACGTAGTGCACTTGATCCTGAGGAACAGCAAGAATACATACATTCGTCAGAGGTTAGAAGGTTTAGGCAAGGAAAATAGTGACGGCAGGCCTTTGGTATCTCAAGAGATTGTGGACGATAACCAATATATGATGTAACTCCAGATGACTCCGGTATAGAAGAAATCTAGTTGCCAAGATAGGACCCGGAAGATGAAAGTGAAGATGATAAAAGGACGGCATACGAAGCAAAAACCGGGGAAACTATTCTGACAAAGATTGAAAAGCTCGGTCTGCTGTACCACCACAAACTTCCAGTTTCAAACCCACAACATACTCAGGTCTGCAAACAATCGACCAGCTCGTGCCGAAGAAAAATAAATCAGTTCAGATCCTTACAGGAATGCACTACAAATGCCCGAAGTAAGAGATCTTAAGAAAAAGTCACAAGTAGATCACAACACAACCAAAGGTGATGTTATTAACATGGTTAAATGCAACTGAAAAAGTAGCTTTGCTATCAGCAAATGCTATGCATTTAGATAAAATCCCAAGAACCCAAGTCAAAGCACAAAGAATGACAGTGTTTTAGTCCACCCAAATACACTATCAGTACTGCGGAATACGAAAGGCTTTTCAATTTACATGGTAATAGGTTCATAGCCGGAGGCGAATACAATGCAAAGCAC